AGGGCTCTGCATGTCCTCATCAAAGGTCTAAGCTTCAATCAACTTGTGGCTTGTTCTGCTTCTGGTGTAGTGGAGGTGGCCCGTTTTTGTGTGCCCGGCCACCTGGGATAATCCGTCACGCTCCGTTCACAGCCAGTTTATTTTGGTGTATGCGCGGTCAAAGCATGTGTTCAGTCTGATTGGCTAGTTTAGGCGCCAGATGCCCTACACTACACCTAACCGCTGACTAGGATTTCATCGGTCCTTGACATTCACGACCCTATTGCTCGTAGTGGCTTTGGGCTGGTGTAAAATTTCAACACCTACTCCCACAAAAATGTGTGCTGTCTAATTCCGCTTCCCTTGTAACTTCAGGCCTTTGTGGATGCTCACGTGCAGGCGGTCAGTATCCTCGGTGAGGCCTTCGCCTCTAAGAAGCCCTTCGATTTTGGCAGGCAGTCCACAACTCAGCACATCACTGAACTCATTCCTGTCATGCTGGAACATCGATTGACACCTCCGCCCAGCGAGAGCTACTCCCTCCACCGCAAGATGTCCGGTTGCTTCCTACTCTGCAGTAAGCTGAAGGCGGTTGTCGACTGCAGAAGCATTTTCCTGCAGATTGAAAGCGACTATAAGTATGGCCAACCGGATCCACCCTCAATCGATTGTCCCTTACCAGCTGCCTCCGTGGTGGCCTAGAAGACTCCTCTCTCTCTCTCTCTCTGGCGTATAACTTCCCAGCCCTCCTTCCCCCTCCTTTCCTGTACCCACCTTCTCATTTGCTGCTTGTTTTGAACTAGAAGACACGTAAGGTTGTCTTCTTGAAGACTTAGGATTCCCCGTTGCCAGTGCGCAATACATCACACCCATTTTAGCGAATGAGCAAATCTTCTGGTTGTTTTGAGGATTTTGTCGACTCATAGGCGCTGCCTTTCCCTGGATTTGGCCAATTTCAGCTTTAATGGCTCTTCCTCGTCTTTGAAGGCACTTTTAATTACCAGTTTAAATTCGGATCAGGTAGAAAGTCGATATTTGGGCGGCGTCCTTCAGGTTCCCCTTCTTGTCGCCATCAGAACCAGACCACTTTGATACTTCATAGTTATGTTCCACAGCCTAGGGCCACATATGGTTGTGAGGCTTTCAGGTGAGACTGCACACTCAGGGCACCCCATCTCGACCTCCATCATTTCTCTCTCTCCCTCATTTTTGATGCGTGAAGTTAACCTAATCAATACTCTTTCTTCAAACGCTGTGCTCATCCACCCGTCCCCCTTGGTTCCCGCCTCTACCTCCCCCCTCCCTCCCCCGTAGTAGTAGCCCCTATAGAATACTCCTTCGCATATCTCGCATTCAAACCGCATTGTAACAGTACATCACTCACGCAGCTCAGGTGTACACACCTTGGAGGACTAAATTTGTACTGTGTGGGTTTTCTGCTCATGTTTCTTTTGTAAAATAAACTTCCTATGACGATGAGTGCTTTATTTGACTGTTCTGTTGCATGCGCAGCTGTCGGAGAACTTTTATCTAATCCAGACTATTGCATTTCGTACGTTCTAGTTCGATATATTTTTTGCATGTTCATAAACGCCTGTTTAATTCGCACCCTGGAATGCATAGTCTTTCTTTGTTGTGGTAGTCTTGTGGACAGTTCCGTCCACTGGTCTTGTACGGCTAGCAAAACCCACTGCCTGCTAACCGCCCTTTTAAGTAGCCGGTTCGATACGCTTTTTTATCAGCTTCCTCTTATGTAACTGCTATGACTCGTGTTCATATTTCTCAATAACATCAACCGTATTCGCGTTCGACTTTTGTTCAAAACCACGGCAGAGGAAAAACAACAAGTCGATCATAACAGCAGGTATTGTTACCAGCATATGTCCACAGCACCTCGCCCAGGTCGATTAGAACTCGGTCCAATACATGTCAAAAGGGAGGGAGAGCACGCTCTCCCAGACAAGAACCAATCGGGTTCCAAGGACGAACAATGGTTGCAGCCAATCGCGAGACGTTATCGAAAGCGTGCTTGCCACAGGCAGGTGGCACGCATGCACGTGGTTTCTACTGAGATCTGATGACTGTGTTAGGAAACGTGAACATTCCCAACAGTAGCACTGTACTCCAGCAATGATACCCACGTAGACATTTAAGTCAACTTTGGCGAACTACTGCCTTCGATTGTTCATCCCCAGGCCTTTACAGTAATGTAAGAGAGGGTAGAGTAGCACACGTCTAAACGTCCAATAAGCAGTAAGTATGGAAGAGAGTGTTGAGGGCGTTCAGGGGTTATAGTCAACGCTTTTTAGATTTTCTATTTTCGGACATCTCAGAGTTCCTCGTTGTCCCCTATTTCGGATGCTTTCAGGTCAGTTTGCTATGCTAGCTTATATCTTCCATACGCGTATCATCACTGCTAAGCCCCTTAGAAAATAATTTTTCCCGGTTAGTGCCACGTTGATTGTTAAAAATTACAACAGTTCTCGTTTGCCACGCGTCTCATCTACTTTCTGCGCTTGGACTTTTTCTGTTGCAAATTTCAGTGCGAACAGACAGTACGCTGCTTCTGCACTTGCTGGGCACATTTGAAGGGAGAGCTGTATAGGTGCTTGTCTACCGCTTTTATGGCCGAACTAAATAAAGAGTGGTGGGGGTGGGAGGCTGTTAGAATAAGGCTCCAGCCTAGGCCAGCCAGCACGTGAGACAAATCCGCAACTGGAGTCTTTGTCTAAACTGCTTTTGTAAGCAAGCTCGCGCTCCTCGGTTACGGAAAGATTTGCGACAAAATTTTAGAGACTGCAACAGCTTTTGCTGACTACTGCGTGCGTATGTTGCTACCTCACCGTACTCAAGCCCAGAACCAGAATATACGACCGCGTTTCCACCCGCCCTCATTGCGGCCAAGGTCTGCTACACCAAACCTCCCTATGGTGGATCCATCTCTTCT